GCTGACTCTAGAACGTCTAGAAAGACTCTGCCCAGGTGCCTTCGAACTGCGAAGCGTACTGCCTGAACCATCTCTCTTCTACAGCTGTCAGCGTATGAGACGTGAAACTCTTTGGCGAGATCTTCTGCCGACTTGTCCGAAACAGCATTAACAAAACGCATGTCATAAGCGTCTTTCTGCTCAGCGGTTTCGTGAGGCATGCTATGGTTTTCAGTGTTGAGCAGCTGCGTGGCTCTGAGCGGATGACTGTCCAAGAGGGCCCTAACCCTGCGCAAAAAAAACGACATGGGTCAGGGGCAGCTTGCTTGCCTGGATATTCTCGGCTTCTTTGATAATGCAACTGTATTCTGTAACGTGCATGGCCCGTGTTGCCGACAAGACTGCGAACAACAACCCTAACGGGGCTGCTGCGGCCTCTCCGCGGTTGGCGGACAGCTGCAACCCTGGCGTACTTCCTCCCCGCAAATGCCCTGCCCGCAGCCCGTCCACCACGTGGCTTCCGTCCCCGTCGACGCCGCCCAAGGTGCAGAAAGACCGCGCGACTCCCCTAAACTGCGGGCCCTGGCCCAGTCCTCCGCTGGCATTCCCCCCCCCGGAAATCGCCGCTGGGTTCCCGGCGGCCCGGCGCTGCGAGGCCCCGGAAACAAAATGCTGGGTCCCCCCAAAAGGCTCGGGGACATCAGTCCAGCTGCTGGGAACCAAACCTCTATCCGCAAAGATGGCACAACTGACGCTTCCGCTCGGGCCTTGCTTGTAAGGTTCCTTGAGGCCGTCTGAAATTAACTATTAGCTGGACATTTCTAGCACCGGTGGAGGGTCGTCTCTGGGGTCTGACCGCATCTCTGGCGCATGGGGTGCTGCCTGTGCCGCGTCCTGTCGCGCGACTGTCTGCATGGTGCCCTCCATTAGAATTGACCCCTCTCTTCGGCCTGCCTAAGATCGCGCCTCGCGCCCTCAATGTCTGGGACATGGTCCAGACCTGCCCCCGCCCGCGAGTTCATTGCAGCACCTGTCCGGAATTATTCTTAGAGCTGCGAGCAATGCAAGCGCTGGGAAATCTGGCGTCGACCGACCCTTGCCCGAGTAGCTGGATGCTGGCTTGGGAAACGTCTCCTTTTGAACTCGCCCGCCTCCACGGCCCCGCCGGCTCCCGCCCCGCGCCCGGCGTCGTGCCGATGGCGGCGGCCACGGGGGAGGATGCCCTTCGCAATTTTGAAATCTCTGGGGGCCTTTTTTCTTGTTCTTTTCCCGCGGTGGTCTCCAGCGCCACTGGGTCCGAAGGGGCCGAAAAACGCGTGCTGACAACGTCGAAAGCCAGCTGTGAATTCTGGATATTTCTGGTCGCGCTCTAGTGCCGCCAGCGCGGTGAGACGCCTGCCGCGCTTCGAGTCGGCGCGCTTGGAGCTGTTCCGAAGACTTGATCAGGAGTGCCCAGGCGGGGCAGACGCCGAAACGCGCGCCATCTTTTCGGGCAATTCCTTGCGCCCCGCCCCCCGCGCTTGAAAACTGACGCAGGCGCTTTATTTCAAAACTGGCTGCTGCCCCCCATGCTGCTCGCTTCGGGCTGGCCCCCTGCGCCCCGACGCCGCGCGCCCGCTGCCTTGGCCACCTCGGGCGACGACGAGACTATTCGAGACTGGCTGGCCATGTTTGGCTGGCCATGTTCGACCGAGCGCGCCTACCGCCGCGGCGCGTGGCGGCTCCCGCTCGGAACAACATATGCGCTAACTGCTCTGTGGGCCCTCGCGGCGCCGGGCGGCGCCGCCGACGCCGGGCGCGCGGGGGGGGGGGTCGGCGGCGGGCCGCTGGCCAACTTCGCGATCATAAAACGAAAAAGGGCGCCTTTGTTGCGCCCGCCGCCCCGCGCAAGCCCGGCGCGAAAAACGCAGGGGGGAGAGAGAGTGCGAGAGAGAGAGAGAGAGAGAGAGAAAGAAAGAAAGAGAGAGAGAGAGAGAGAGAGAGAGAGAGAGAGAGAGAGAGAGAGAGAGAGAGAGAGAGAGTGAGAGAGAGAGAAACACACCAAAAAAAAGCAATACACATAGAGAGAAGAAACAAAACGAGGGGGATATGAAACAAGAGACAAAGAGAGGGGAGAGAAGGAGAGGAGAGAGAGAGAAGAGGAGGTGAGAGCGGGTGAGAGGGGAGAGAGATAGAGGAGAGAGAGAGAGAGAGGAGAGATGAGAGAGAGTGAGAGTGTGAGCTAGGGTGAGAGAGGTGAGAGAGAGTGAGAGAGAGAGAGAGAGAGAGAGAGAGAATCAACAAAAACCAAAAAGAGAAAGGGAAAACATAAATAGTCGAGAGAGAGAGAGAGAGGGAGGGAGGGGGGGGGGGTGGGGGAGAAGAAGAGAGAAAGAGAGGGAAGTGAGAAGAGAGATGAGAGAGAGAGAGAGAGAGAGAGAGAGAGGAGAGAAAGAGAGAGAGAGAGGAGAGAGAGAGAGAACAATATAACATTAATCCAGAAAAGAGAGAGAGAGAGAAGGAGAGAGAGGAGAGAGAGAGAGAGAGAGAGAGAGAGAGAGAGAGAGAGAGAGAAAAAAAATACGCACAAAAAAAACACACATGAGAAATTACACGACAAAGAAGCCGAGAAAAAAACGACACGACCACAGCGAAAGAGAGAGAGAGAGAGAGAGAGAGAGAGAGAGAGAGAGAGACAGAGAGACAGAGAGACAGAGAGAGAGAGAGAGAAAGAAATAACTAAAGAGAGAGAGAGAGAGAGAGAGAGAGAGAGAGAGAGAGAGAGAGAGAGAGAGAGAGAGAGAGAGAGAGAGAGAGAGAGAGAGAGAGAGAGAGAGAGAGAGAGAGAGAGAGAGAGAGAAAAAGAGAAAAAGAAAGAAAGAGAGAGAGAGAGAGAGAGAGAGAGAGGGAGACAGAGAGATATTCAACATGAGTCGGGTTTATCTCATTTGAGAAACAACCCTCTCCCCTCAAAACTACAATGCCATGCGCATCTGCATCTAGCTCGGGTGACTTGTGTAGCGCAAGCCCCCACGTGAATGAATCGCAGAAGCCCTCTGCGCCCCGCGTGGGACTCGCATGTTCGAGACATTCGGTGGCTTAGTTCTCTGGGCGCTCGTCGTGGATGGCTCTCCACGGGGCAGCTCGGATGGCCGGCGATCCCGCGGCTGCAGTGCCTCGCGCCGGCTCGATCGCTCTAAATTGCGAAACTTCCCCCGCAGTGGCGGGGGCCGCGGCGACGTGCCTATGCCTCTGTCCGCTTCTCTGCTTTCCCCTTGCAGCTTGGCCAAAGCCACGAGGGAGAGCCGCCGTGGCCGGCGGGCCCCGGCCCGCCCTTTCAGGGGGGGTGCGCGAGGGGCGATGGGGGGCATGCTGCCAAGTCGCTCTCGGACTCTGGCCCGCGCGACATGATCCGATGCGCGCCATCTGTAAGACCACCCGTCATCCCATCGCGCGAAGCGGCGACCGCTGACCGCCGGCGCGCTGCTGGATCCGCTGCAGCAGAAGCCGCAGCGGCTCCCAGAGCCTCCGAATCCGAAACTGTTTGAAACCTCGGTCTCTGCAGGCTTGTCTTTCCCCCGTTGGATTCTGGCGAGCAAGCGGGAATGGTTCGGCCCCGGGGGGCCCGGGCCTCGCGCCCCACTCCTCCGACCTCCGCCCCAACTGGGTCGAAATCTCAAGCTTGCGAGTCGGCGGAGCGGGTCGGCGGGTCGAGGCTGGCCCCCAGGTCTCGCCGGCGCTCTACTGTTCCGACAAGCTAATCTAGCTGCTCTGGTGTAAACTCACAAAGCGAATGAAACGCGCGGCCGATCTCCTGCGCTGGCTCTGCTTGCGACCCCATCTCGCGCCCCGCGCCCGCCGCGCCCCCCCGCGCCCGCCCTGGCCCCCTCCGCCCATGAAGAGGTCTTCAGGGCGCAGAGACTCCAGGGGCGGGGGCCCCATGAAAATGAAGAGCCCATTGAGCCTCTCTGCGTCAGGCACCCTCCGAAACGATTGATCCAGGTTCAACTTCGAAGTGGCTGCCAGGCCGTTGTTTGCGCGCGCCCTGCTCCGTAGCAAGGCTCGCGATTGCATCTCTAATGAAGCGTAGCCCCGCGCGGGGTGTCGCCGTGAGATCGAGCGTCCTGCGTGGCCGCCCCGTGCGCGTGTAGCGTGCATGTCTCGCTGCCCTGCTCTCACCTGCTACTGGAGTGGGCCAGCCACTGACCTCTAGATCCTCTGGCTCGCAATTGCAGTCGCGCATCGCGCGATGCGACGTGCGCGGCGACTGCAAACGTGGACCTGGACAGGCAAGCTTCTTGCTGTTGGCTCCAAAGCGCCCGATGCGATATGATAATCAGTCCGGAAAGAACTGACCGCCTGGCCTGAGACCAACACAGCTGCAAACTGGCTTTTGCGCTGGTCTGATGTCCCTCGATGCAATGGTTTGTCCTGGGTCCCTGGCGAGGTGTCGGGGCGTCTCGAACTGCAACTGCTGTCTACAACCTGCTGCAACGCCACCTGGTCGCCTACTGGCTTCCGAAGCTCTGCTCGGTGTAAGCACGGGCTCAAAGCCGCTCTCTGCCCACTCCGCCGAATGCATGTCGCTCTCCTCTAGGGTCGCGTGCGCATGTGGGAACACACGGAAATCGCACTCCTGGGGCCTCATCACCTGCTTCACCGCCAGGCCTAACTTGGATGCGCTCCCCGCGTGCAGCGTGTACTGGTTCTCTTTACGCAGCGTGCTAGGGATCCGACATTCTTGATGTGCTTTTCCACCGCACTCTCTGGATTGTTTTCTCCACTTCATCTGCGAGATGCTTCCGTCCGGCCTCCGGCTCCTCAGGCTGGCTAGCAGCGCCTCCCTCCCGAGGAAGGGGTTCGAGAAGCGCCTCCGCTTCTTGAGCTGGCGTTGCTTCCGCCACCTGCGGTTGGTGCGCTCTCTGCTGCGCAGGCACCCCCCGCGCCGCCAGCAGGATCGCCACCAGGAGCAGGATCGTCATTTTTTCTGGCATCGTTCTGCCATCTATGCCATCTCCTTCTGGTGCGCCTCCAACTCTGACCTCAGGGAACCCATGGTCTTCTCCAGAGCTGCCTGCAGCTGGCTGTTGACCTGTTTGGATGTCTCCTCCACCATCTTGTTGTGTGCGTCCTGCAATTCCACTCCGTCGAACAACTTACTGAACGAAAGCTGCAACCGGAAACCCTCGCTGGGTGCAGTGCCGATTTCCATGGTGGCTCGTCCAAAATATGCCGTCTGCGAACCAGGTGCGTGCACTTTCCTTGCCGCTTCCTTCTCCGATTCCTCCGCGGCCACCAAGTCCTATGTGGCCTGTTCGTTTCGTGCGCATCCATGCCAGCCGAGTTTTCTCAAGCGCCTACTTGGCCTTGACCACTTTGGCCGACGCCTGCTGCAGCTCGACCGCTGGCCGCACAGGCGGGTTCGGTGGCGGCAGCTCGATGGCCGCATGGAGCTCCTGAGCTTTGGTACCTCCCGCATCGCCGTTCGCCGCCATGGCTCGCATCGCCGCCTGCAGGTAAGAGCCCATGTCCCCCTTTCCGCCGCCAGAGCCCGTGCCTCCGCCTTTGCCTGCGGCCCTGTCCATGGAAGGCGAGGGCGAAACATCATGGCCGAGGGTTGCGCCGCAGAGGCATGTGTATCCCATCGCCTCCCCGAGCCGATCTTGGTATGCTGAAATGTTGCAATTGAGTGCAAAAGACCTTTACCTCCGCTCTGCCAGGTCCCCTGCTGTCCCGTGTCCAGATAAACCCATGGCACTCACTTCTTCTTTGCCCATGGCGCACTTGACACCTGGGAAGGCTGGCTTCCTGGCGCCATCTACGTCAACGAGTTCGGAGGAACAAGAATCGTGACGATCACTTTACCGTAGGTTCGCAAAGGCGGTGAGGGATGGGGCCTCAATGCCGTATTCGCAAGACTTGTTGATCGCTGCTGGGGCCTTCTCTTCCTGGAACCAGAACTCTTGTCCTGCGCCTCCTGCTGCGGACTTGAGCCAAACTGGCTACGGAGCTCCTCGTCCTCGTCCGCGTCCTCGTCCTCCTCGTCCTCGTCCGCGTCCTGCTCCTCCTCCTCCTCTTCCTCCTCCTCCTCCTCTTCCTCCTCCTCCTCCTCCTCATCCTCCTCGTCCTGCTCATCGTCGTCGTCGTCCTCCTCCTCCTCCTGCCCTCCTGCTGCAGCTCTCCCTTCCTTCCCCTCCCCAGCGCTCCCCCTTGTGAGCGTTTTCTGATTCCGCGTTTCGACATCGGGCGGAGGGAGGGAGAGGGATGGGGGGGCTGGCTCTGCGACTGTCTGCAACATGGCGGCCATTATGGGGGAGACCCCACCTGCTCGAAACAAACGCCAAAAAACAGCCAAGATCTACTCCACGGGGGGGGAGAGGGGGTGCGAGGGCCCGCGCCGATCGGCAGAACAACGAATAAGACAACGATCGCCAACTTTCCCACCTGCTGCAGCTGCTTGAGGGTGTACTCGGAAGCAGCGCCTTTGGTAGCGTCGACGTGCTCCGCCACCCTGGGGCGCGGGTGTGGCCATCAGCGCCCAGGGAAGGCGGAGGAGGAAGAGGAAGCGACGAGGAAAGAAAGGAGGAGGAAGCGAGGAGAAGGAAGCAATGAGGAGGAAAACGCGAGGAGGAAGAAGCGAGAAGGAGGAGGAATCGAAGAGGGAGCGAGGAGGCGAGGAGGAGGAAGCGAAGAGGGGGACAAAGAAGAGAGGGGGACGAGGACGATTGTGGGACCGATCTGGACACGCGTGTTTAGCACAAGACGTAATCTGGACACACGTTCCAGCTAACGCGACCTACACAACGCTCCTGCCTACTGGGGATCACTTGTATGTGTTTTCGCGCTCGCAAGCTTCTGCCGCCACTGTTGGTTCCATAGGCGCTGAACAGGCCAGCTGCAGAACGAGAGCCTGACCTTCAGGACACTAAAATTAAGCAGGCCCCCTGCGTGCAGCAGTGCTTCCCTGTGCGTGTAGAACTAGTGAAGGGCAGGCAGCGCTCGTGAAACCCCCGATGGAGAAACTTGCACGCGAGTTCCCCCCTTGGGGGGCGCCTGGATTCCCACTCTGCGGGCGCCAAACAGCACCTAAGAGTTCAATAATATGCGGCAGCACCTCGACCGAGTCGTGGTTACAAGACGAGCGAGCAAGCAGAAACAATAAACTTGCGAAGATCCGCGCGGATTTCTCGGGTCGGTGCTAGACTGGGAGAACTGAAGGAGGGAGGGAAATGCATCATGGAACCATTGACTTCGTTTCAATCGTATTCAAGGACCACACCCCAGAAATAACTTCGAGCACCCCGAAAGAAATCGAAACGGTGTCTGCACGACACGCTGGCGAGGTGCCGAACGAGTATCGCCTCCGATGGCCCGACGCGTGGAAACCCTCCACAGGTCTGGTGCTTTTTTGGTGCTCGAAACTCTTGCTGGTGATCCAGGCTAAAGTAGGCTGGACAAACAGAACCATTGACCTGGACTCGGCGATGCATCGCCAACCGCTTCCCGATAGGTTTCGGTCGGGCATGTCCCCCTACAGGCGGATTCTGGGCGAAAAATAAGACATACCCAAGCCATACTCAAAAATAACAAAAAATGCTACAAGACTCGTCCCCAGAATATGTCTTGACTATTTCTGGACATCCCTCCTGCAGAGGGACGTGCCCGACTCCCCGATAGCTCCCCGCCTGCCCCAGAAAACAAAGCACACACACAGCACCCATGCTCAAACATAGCCCCCCCCAAAAAAATGCTACAGGACTCGCCCCCAGACTGTGCCTTGCCTACCTCTGGACATCCCTCCCGCAGGGGGGACGCGCCCGACTCCCCGAGAGGTCCCCCCGCCTGCCCCCAAAAAACGCACGCAGCGCACCTCCCCGGGCCGGGCGGGGGCACCCCCGGGGCCCCGGCGTCGGCGACGCGCGGAGCGCGCGGGGGCCGCTGCCGCCGCCGCCTGCGCCCGTCCAGAATTGCAGTCGGGGCGTTGACCTGAAGCGAACCCCGAATAGGGAACGAGGCCCCTTTTTTTCCCCTAAGTCAAACTTCGACTCCCCATCGAGAAGCGGAAGAAAACCAAAGGCAAGCTGCGAAGCAATCGAGGGACACGGAGCCCCTCCCCAACGAGAAGGGTTCCTTCTTCAGGGCCCCGACTGTATGTTGTTCCCGTCCTACTTAAGGACCGCATCCCAGAAATAATCTCGAGCACCCAGAAAAGTGTCGAAAGCGTGTCGAGACAGTGTCGAAAGAGTGTCTCCCAGGGCCCGACACGTGAAAACCCTTGATTTTTGGGGTGCGCTCGAAATTCTTTCTGGTGATCAAGGCTAAAGTAGGTTGGAACATCAGAAGTCTAGAAGCCTCTATGAAGGGGTCGGAGCAGATGTGGGGTCAGGTCGGGCGTGTCCCCCTGCAGGCAGATGTTTGACGACAACTGACAAATACTCTCGACAAAATTCAAGACAAATGCTCAAGCATACGGAAAAATCGCCCACAGACTATGTGTTGACTGCTTTCGACGATTCCTCCCCGGTAGAGGGACACGCCCGACTGAAATGCAGGGGAACGAAGAATAACATAAGCATAAAAGCTCGGAGGTCCGCGCGGTTTTCTCGGACCGGCGCTGGACACCCCCTCCCTGGCGCGCGGAGCGCGCGGGGGCCGATGCCATCACCCCCTGCGCCCATCTAGAAGCCTCGCAAATGGGTTCGGAGTAGATGGGGTCCTCGCCGAAGAAAATATCGGGCGCTGGCCGCACAGGGTGTAGTCGGACCTGGTCTGGTGACGTGTACTAGGGGACGCGCCCCCACCCCCGCCCTGTTCCACGAACCAAAAGTGCCGTCACCCGAAAAAACAAAAAAATATATGACAGACCTAGTTCAGTGATTCCGGCCAGTTTAGAGACTCCGGGGCCCTACTACCAGCGGGGTCCCCTTACATTGGGTCCTGGCTATACCAGAAAAAAACACACGTCCGAGTGACTGGGGGGCGAAGACAGGGGCCCTAAAGGGTACCCCTACTGACTCTCCACAAGGGACCCTGACAGGACCCCTTCTTTTCACCCCCCGATTAGGTCACCCCCATCATAAGAGGCCTCTTAGATGGGGCCCATGCAACGACAATGCATCGCCGATGCATCGTTGATGCATCGCCGACGTCGGCGACGCATCGGCGACGTCGGCGTGGAGAGAATCGGGCTCCGCATCGCGTCGCATCGTCGATGCATCGGCTGTACGGCGTGATCCTCCGACCCCATCTGCTCCGACCCCCTCTAGGGTAGGAGATCTAGACGACCCCCCCCGTCGGCGCCCCTGAGGACCCCCCCGTCCCGCCCCCGCACCCTCTTCCTGGGCGCGCGAGCGCACCAAGGGGGGGGGGGACTAGAGAGGCCACCCTGGGGTGCGGTGAGGAAGGTCGGGCGCTGGCTTGCCTACGCATTTCTTTGGACGCCCGAAATGGTAACTACGGAAAAAATGGGTGCTGTGCCCACCAGCACATGTTGTCCCCAACCAACAGCGGCCGCTGTTGGGCAGACGGCCTTCTGTCTCGAATGGACACAGGCCGCGGCGGCGCGGACGGCGAGCCCTGTTCAAAATGCACAGGAGCTGCTGTTGGGCATCGTACCCCTTCTTGCCGTACCCATCTCGTTCGTGCCGAATTTCGGCGTGTGGCGGGGTGTCGCCCGGTCGCCCGGTTCGTGCCCGCCCATGGTCGCACCGCGGGAGCGCCGTGCCCCCCCCCCCCCCTCCCTGGCGCCTCGCGCCGCCTGCCGCATGGCTTGCACCACACAGATTGCCCCACGTGGCTTCCGCCACATCTTGCAGTTCACACACGCACACACACACACGCACGCACGCACGCACGCACACACAGACACACAGACACACAGACACACAGACACACAGACACACAGACACACAGACACCCAGACACCCAGACACACAGACACACAGACACCCAGACACACAGACAGACAACCAGACACACAGACACACAGACACACAGACACACAGACACACAGACACACAGACACACAGACACACAGACACACATACACACACACACACACACACGCACACACACGCACACGCACACGCACACGCATACGCACACGCATACGCACGCACACGCACGCACACACACGCACACACGCGCACACACGCGCACACACGCGCACACACGCGCACACACGCGCACCACACGCGCACACACGCGCACACACACACACGCACACACACGCACACACACGCACACACGCACACGCACGCACACGCACACGCACACGCACACGCACAACACACGCACACGCACACGCACCACGCACACGCACACGCACACGCACACGCACACGCACACGCACACGCACACGCACACGCACACGCACGCACACACGCACACGCACACGCCACCACACCCACACCCACCCCACACCCACACCCCCACACCCACACCCCCACCCACACCCCCACCCCCACCCCCACCCCCACCCCCCACCCCCACCCCCACCCCCACCCCACCCCCACCCCCACCCCCACCCACCCCA